TAGCACTATGTATACGCTGAGCTATATAGCTGGTATTGCTAAGCAACTATACTGGCTTTATACTATACTTTCAATTTTACTTTTGATGCTATGTAGCATTAACATCCGGAGCATTCGAACCTCTGCTTGATATGGGACTTGGAAGAAATTCGATCAATCGGGTTACCAGATCATCAGCAGAAGGTCACCCTTCGTGGTGAGCTTGATGCTGGCGTTGCGGTGGATCGAGAAAAACGTGAGGAAATATCGAGAGTCGACGGCCGCAACAGTGGAATGAATACATGCCATTGATTACAGCCGGAGGCTTGAGTTGTTTGAGACTGTGTGCAAAGTATTTTCTATACCCATGGAAGTGAGGCACGCGTGGAGTCGCAAAAGATTCTTCTTATGGTTTCGAGCGACGTTGACGTCTTGGTTGTACACGGTGACGAAGGTTCACATGAAGAAGCATCAGAAAGAGTATCAACAGTTCCTGGCCGAGATAGGGCCGGAAACTTTCAAGAGACCCTTGATACCAAGGCGAGAGAATCAATATTGGAGGAGGACTTGGCAAAGAACGTGAGTTTGAGCTTGCACAACTCCTTTTGCTTGAACAGGGAATCTAAAGTGAAGGGTCTGCCGAGCCAGGCAAAAAGATTGCAAGAGCAGAGGGAGTGGATGCAATTCTACGAACAACTAAAGTCTTGGGAAGAGATTGTGATCAGTTCCGACAATGAAGAAGAACTGTCAAGGCAGATCACTATGTCGAGTGTGTCAGGGCTCAGTACCTCGAGGGCGAGGGGCACGAACTGAGCAGAGCGCAATATGCAGATGCACTTATCAAATAAACCCGTCGCCCTATAGTTTTCCACAGGTGCAAAAACCAACTGAATGTTTAGTACAGAAGTTTTTAATCGATTTTACGACAATTCCCGACCCTTGGTCCGCCCTGATAAACCGAGCGAGGAATAGCATGATGAGCAATGTCAATTTCCAGAGACTCCTGAGTTACGCTAGCACTCCTCCTTGTTGTCACTTGTACCGAGAGACATTTTGAAAAACCATCGAAGCTTAATAAAAAAATGTTTATTCGCTCCCCAGGTTTGTGGTAAGTCTCCCTAAAAATCTAGAATCGATTAGGTTTTTCCATAAACTCTGATTGCGTAAGATCTTTTTCCGGTATAACCAATTTGAAATTTTAACCCGACTTTATACATTCTTTTTTTTGGTTTTTTGCTTTTTATGGTTGCTTTTTTATTATTAAAACTGGCAACGGTAACAATTTCCAAGTAGAAAGGAATTCAACAAGTTTATTGGTATGTTAGCTGTTTTGGGTAATAACGACAAAAAACGTGACCTTCGAGGAAGTCAATTGACTTTTAACAACGTTCAACGAGTTTTTCCAAATTTGAGAACCATTTACAACTTAATTTACTTGCGTCAGTTCTAGCGGAACACCGCCTATTTCCTAAAAACAAAAGTCAGGATGGGATTTGAAACTACGCCTTGGAGTTGGTAACCGCATTTGTACCCATTAGACTAACGGCTGGTTTATTATTAAGAAGGGTTCTGTGAGAAAAAACCCACAAAAAGTTCTGTGAGAAGTACATATAAAAGAAGTACATATAAAAGAGTGCATATAAAACAAGAGTATAGATGCATATAAAATAAGCAGAGTTGGCCGAGTGGCCTAAGTTAACGCCGATTATATGTGCGACCTAACAGTTGACGTAGTTCCGATTCCCCACGTGCCCTGTTTTAATATACTAAAAACGGGGGTTATATCCTATTTTAACTGTGTTTTGGTTCTAATTCGGTTCAGCCTTGATTAAGACTGACCGCTAAAAAAGAGCAATTTGTCTCAAGGACATTACCGACCGGTTCTTGTGGCTAGCTTGCGCCGATTTGTACCAAAAACAGTCGGATGATTAAAAGTTATATGATGTTTTTGATCAATAGAGAATGCCGAAATTAATCTATTTGCCTGAGTTATTTACCGAAAAATATCTCTTATTAATTCAACGAATTTGGATCAGTTTTGGAGATTAGCGAGCATACTGTGAGAAGTAACCCACATATGATGCAGATTATCTGACAAAATGGGTCAATTAGGGATACAGCATTTTTGAAGGACCAAACAAATAAACTAGTAGCTAACAGTCAACAGTCACGTGCGGATCTAGGATTTCCTCGAGGGGGCGGATTTTCAAAAAAACGATAATTTTGTCGACCTTCCTTATTTTTAGGCCGATCAAATTGGTTTTCTGAGCTCTCCCAAATCATTAAGAAGACCCATTTCGATTAAGTTTTCTGCACCGCTGGCAAATTTTGGACAAAAAAAAACCGGCCAAACAAGACGTTTTTAGGCAATTTTTGGAAAATTTTGACTAGAAAATTCCGCTTTTTTGGCGCGCGATCCTCCTTCAAAATTAGTACATTTTGGCGCCTAACGCGCCTTTAGAACAATTTAGGGGTCAGTCTGCCAAAAAATGAATATATTAAAATAGTACAAACGGGGGACCTTTTGGTGGGTCAGCAGGGAGTTGAATTCCTGAAGAAGGGGCGTCCGGACGCCCCACCTCGAAATCCGCTGGTGCTAACAGTACTATGTACAACCCCCCCCCCCCCCCCCCCAAGTAACCTACAATAGAATGTCCTCGAATTGACTTTGTCCTCGAAGTCAATTTTGGAAAAACAGGCATTTTGATTCACTGGAACCCCCATTTGAGAAAGAATTAAACAGTTAAGTATATAGTTTGGACCAACCGTTTTATTTGTTCCCCAGCAGGATCCCCCCTAAATCGTGCTGGGGAACAAATGAAACGGTTGGTCCAAACGGTTGGGTAAGACAGTGCCGAAGTAAGAGAGTGCCGAAAACAAAAATTTGTTTAAGAGTGCCGAAAATTTGTTAAAGAGTGCAGAAACTGACTTATTTGTCGTGAACTAATTGAGAAAAGAAAAGAAAGTTTTGTTTGCTCATCGATTTTGGCGCTAAAATTGAGTCTGAACAAGTTTATTTGTCGTGAACTAATTGAGAAAAGAAAAGAAAGTTTTGTTTGCTCATCGATTTTGGCGCCAAAATTGAGTCTGAACAAGTTTCAAGTGTCATTATTAATTTTCCCGCCAAAAGCTAGCCTCTTAAATTGCGTTCCAATATTTCCCGCCTTTTTCGGCACTCTCTAACTTCGGGAGTGCAGCCAGTATTTAGACAGCCGCGTATTCATACTGGTCAGTATTTAGACAAATACTGTTTCAACCAATCAGAATCGAGAAAAAACATAAATAATCCAAAATAAATAATAATTATTTATTAATTTCTTCTTTGTCTCGATTCTGATTGGTTGAAACAGTATTTGTCTAAATACTGACCAGTATGAATACGCGGCTGTCTAAATACTGACATGTAACCCTAACTTCGGCACTGTCTAACGCCCCCGTCCAAACTGTATATACTTAACTGTTTAATTCTTTCTCAAATGGGGGTTCGTTTCAAGTTAGCACAATTCAAGGTATCATATAGTTCAGCTCAAGTTGTTGAAGTACTGTTTCTTGGGCGGAAAAATTAAGACTACCTCTCCCCCTCAATCCGCCTCTGAATTATTATGTGGTAGATAGGTACATAACACGACATGACGTTAAGGTGACAAATGAGCACTAGAAAAGTTGAAATGAACTGATAAACTTGAGCGTTATAATTATCCTAGAATTGCAATGTGGAGAATTGCGTGTACCGTCGTCTAAAGTCCCACCAAAAGCGGTAGTCATCTTAACCAGCTGTCGTCCTATTGACCGGACGCCAGTTTATAGTACGGTGCTTGGTAAATAAAACGGCAGGCGATTAAGACAAGACATTAAGACGTTAAATTAGCTTCTCTACATGTAAAATGAGCAGTTCAAGTTTATGGGGTTTAGATTTCGTAGAAATTCTATGTAAGCAATTGCATGTGGCATTGTCCTAAAGCCCATCATACGATTCGGCTTGAAGTCCCGTCGGCTTGATGTCCGGCACCCGTCGCCGTATAGGTGACAAAGAAGTTTTGGACTGGACATTGAGCAGACAGTTTTTCAAGCAGAAGGATTTCAAGCTAAAATTTTTGCTCGAAAATTGTTGCGAAAATCCTCTATAACCATTATTTCGAAGTTTTGGCTTCTCGTATAGTTTTTTTAACTTTAAGAAAAGACTAAATCTCAGCCTAAAAATATGAGCCTCCAAATCCTTGTAGTTTTCGAGATATCGCTGTTTTTTTCTGTTTTTTTTTGTTTTTAGTTTTTTTTTCTGTTTTTTTTTGTTTTTTTTTTTGTTTTTTTTTGTTTTTTTTCCACAGTTATTTATATTCTCTAACAACGGTGACAGTGTTTCAATAGAAGGACTGCCCCCCAATACAATAGTTTTTTTATATCCGAAATATCGCCTTTTTAATGAAAATATCAAAAAATCAAAAATATATTTTATTTTTATCATTATTTTGTTTAAATAACCTGAATTGTTGATGTAAACCGGGTAGACTATAAGTGGGCGCTCAATGTGCCTTTTGTCTGTCCTCTCCGAGTTATTTATTTTGATGCTGTGTCTATTTTGATGTTTTATTATAACTTTGGAGAAATAAATTCTTTCTTTCTTTTCTTTCTTTCTAGCCTATAACAAACTCGAAACAATTGATCCTTCCTGAACGAAGATTGCAGAATGTTTTTGTTCGGCCGTTTGTACATTGATCGTACATTTGTACATTGTACATTTGTACATTGCCGTTTGTAACGTTGATCAACTGAATGTATTTCCTTTAAAAAAGCGATTTAGGCGTGAACAATTCTGATTGGTCCAATTTGGGTCTAGGACAACAAGCCGACGGGACTTCAAGCCGAAGGGACTTCATGCCGAAATTTAAACTTTACAAGCCTCAAATCATTATTTTTTCATCTGTAAAACGTTGCTTTTCAAAAATTTAGACAAGTTTAGTCCATAATAAGCGTTATATACAAACACGACTCCGAATTCTCAGCTAATCGGGCCCGAAGTTTCGCCCGCGAAGTCAACAAGCAGTTCGGTTGACTATGACGAGTCGAACCTCATAATAAATTATGTGCCGGCAACCATGACTCAAGAGGAATTGCGACTACTTTTCTCTCAAGTGGGGCCAGTGGAAAATTCCAAAGTAGTGCAGGATAAAATAACTGGCCAGTCACTTTGCTACGGGTTCGTCAATTTCAAATCGGCGGAAGACGCGAGTAAGGCTGTGGAATTCTTCAACGGTCAATTCGTCGGACCAAAAAAACTCAAGGTTAGTTAATTAATTTTTGAAGTTACCTTCATTAGACCGAATGGTACGGTGGGTGGGTATTCACGAGTACCAAAATGATAAATCAGTCCCATTTGTACCAAAATAAAAAATCAATCGCGTTAGTACCAAAAATGTTCAATTGGCCTAAGACTATTAAGCCGACTACTTTAAGCTCTTGGTTAAGGTCGCTTCGCGGCGATAACCGGCTCTAATTTTCGTATAGAGTCCTACCCTCTGTTGGCAAGCTCGCAACACGTTGGCGCGACTGCGGTGGTCACTATTCTGCTGTTTAGTTTTCTTCTGTTTGAACAGTAGGAAATTAATGTAATAATTCGTTGGCTCACAATTCGACCAATCAGAAATCGAGTTGAATTTTTTTGGTACAAATGGGACCGATTTTTCATTTTGGTACAAATGACCGTTGGTACAAATGGGACGTCACCGGTACGGTGCATACCCACGGAGCCGCATTCCCGGATAGCCGCAAAAACTAAATACCTCCGGTTTTATTTAAATTAAATCAGAAAATTTTGAGACGCATTCTGATTGGACAAAATGCGCAGCCTGTTATAGCTAACAAAATTCCGAACATTTTTAAGAGATTTGATTGGTTAATACTTTTGCTCTCATTGAATTAATTATTAGCAAAAGTCCGACTACTACAGGGATTTGACCCCCTCAACAACCAAAGGGTCCCTCTTTGGTATGTTTTATGGTATCCATTTTCGGCCGAGAAAGCCTAAAATTTTTCAGTATATGCTAATTTTAAAGGGGAGCACGCGCTGAAAAACGGAATTTTTTGGTCAAATTTTTTTCAAAAAATCCCAAAAACGGGGGGGGGGGCATGGTGGGGGTAAATGTGGGTAGTCAGAGGAAGTAATTGGGAGGGGGAACGGCATGGGAAGGAAGAATGATCGGACTAAGTGTGTGTGTGTGTGTGGGGGGGGGGGGGGATGGGTAGAGAAAGGGTACCGAAACAAAGGGTAGAGAAAGGGTAATGAAAACAATGAAAACAAGGTTTTTAAGTAAGTTTGTAGAATTTCTTTCACCCCTATGGTACCTAGTAACGAATCTCTCCCCCCTCCCCGATTAAGAAATGGGTAAGGGGGCAGACGGGAGGTAATTGCTAAGTAGAACCAAAATTTCAGCTATCCGGGAACGAACTTATTTTTCGGCTATCCGGGAACGAGTTTATTTTTCGGCTATCCGGGAACAAATTTATTTTTCGGCTATCCGGGTATTCGGCTCCGTGACACGCCACCAATGGTACTACTATGATAGAGTGGTCCCTCGAAAAAGCAACTATGATAGACAGGTCCCGCATGCATTTCGCATGTTATAATTTTGAAAACTAATTTGTGCATAAATTATTCAATTCAAAAATCTTTGAAAAATCTTGCGAAACACTATTGTTTATTTATATTGAAATTTGCTCCCTTTACTTTATTGAAAGATTACAAAACAATAGAGTACAAAACAATAGAGTACAAAACAATAGACTTTGCTCCTTGTAACAAATCAATTATGGCAAATAAGCTTCTTTAAACCAATTTGGAACGATTTCTAAGACGGATTAAATCTCCGCTTACGCGTTATTAGCGCGAATTATATCGCGCGTTAATTGTCCCAAATTGGTCAAAATGGCCAAAATGGCAATTTTTAAACCCTCATAACTTTACAAAAAATGATCACAGGTGAAATATCTTTTCAAATTTTAAGTTCAGGACAACAATAGCTTTCGAATGATAAAAAAATTTCCGTCAAAAATGGCTAGTTAAAAAGTCAAAATTTGTCTGAAAAAAAAACCCACCCCGAGCACAAATATTCCGTTTCTTTCGTATCGAAAGTCGGAACAACAAGACTTCTCGTATCAGGGCAAAGCCCTGAATGTTCCGACTGCCTTTTAAGGTTTATGGAGCAGCAGTAATAACATAAAAAATTTAATGAAATAAATCAAAATGAAAACTTTTTTTCCAAAATTTGAAATTTTTAAGGAAAATCATCCCCCCACACGCCATATAAAGTACAAAAAGATAGATTTCGTTCCTTGTAACAAATCAATTATGGCAAATAAGCTTCGTTCAACCAATTTGGAACGATTTATAAGACGGATTAAATCTCGCTTACGCGTTAATAGCGCGAATTATATTGCGCGTTAATTGTCCCAAATTGGAAAATGATTGTCCCAACTTTACGGAAAATGATCACAGGTGAAATAGCTTTTCAAATTGAAGCTCAGGACAACAATACCTTTTGAATGATATTATAAAATTCCGTCAAAAATGGCTAGTTAAAAAGTCGAAATTTGTCTGAAGAAAAAAAAACCCAACCCGAGCACAAATATTCCGTTACTTTTGTATCGACAGTCGGAACAATAAAAGGGAAATTGAAGAAGACATCGTTGCCCGTTCAATAAAATGAAACAGTTGAAAAAGGGTTCTCTCATTCTCTGCCTTTATATTCTGTAAGAGCAGCCATTACTGTTGAAAACGTACAAATCTCTGATGAAAGCAACTCACTATAACCGGTGTTCCAGAAAATTGTGCAGCCATAGCATGAGAATGGATAAAATTTAGGAACGTCATAAAAGCAAGACTTTCATAATTCAACAGCATATATTCCTGGAAACCAACTTTAAAAAATGTGTGGGAAAAAAAGTACCCAAAGCGATAAAAGAAAATTATTTTTTGCTTTCCGTTCATTTGAAACGAACAATGCTTTGATAATTTGAATCACTGGATTGAAAAAGTTGCAAAAGAAGTAAAATTAAGTGAACCAAACAATGACCACCGTATCAACTTCGCTTCCGTATTGGTAAATTCAGAAGTTAGAACCCTTTACTCCTGTAAATGAAATATGGAATTGTGTTAATGAATCAACAGTATCAAAAACAAGTACGAAACAACCTTTTAGACAGCCGAACAAATTGACACTAATAGCTGAACATACATTAACAGCCGAAGGTTTTTACAGGAGGCGCACTACCTACAAAGTTACCGCTCGTCTCAACTATGACATCAACTAAACTCTGTATGCTAGTTCATTAATAACGTCGACAGGTTTTGAAATCAAACAACTGACAAAATGGGCGATAAATATCATTTTTATTTAACTTCATTGTGCTAATGCCAGAGTTTTTGCTGTAGGGAAAAATTTTGCTTCCAGCGGCATTATCCGCTCATCAACAGTGGTCAAATCCATCATTACTGCCGTCAAATTTGTGACAAATGATTTTACGGGTTAGTCATTTCTGCACTGTGGTGCTGTCAGAACACTTGAAGACGGGAAAAAAGAGAGGTTTCTAGGATTGCTGTTCAAACTTTTGAATGGATATGGACATTGCACTAAGAGTTCCAACCCTGGGAGTAAAAAAAATGAAAAACCGCTTAATCACATTAGAACCCACAGCACGAGCATGAAGAAAGGCAACCGTGTAAAATACCCTTTGAACGGAGCAGGGATGTAAAAAAATATATTGTATTTAAATATATTGACAATAAATACATTTAAATAATTTATTTTCCAATTCAAAAAATAAAATATATTTATTTTTCGTAACAATTATTGTTTGAATTGCAAAGCAGGTTTCCAACATAACTCGGCCAATAATTGAAGCTTGGCTTGGCTTGGCTAATTGACAATTCTATTGTCAGAATGCAAGCGACGCACGATTAATCCATTCGAGTTAAGCTAGCTCAACTCGAATGGATTAATCGTGCGTCGCTTGCATTCTGATTGGCCACGATCGTTTTGAATAGACTGTAATAGACTATTATTACACGCAAATATTTTTGTTCATTAATAAAACACTTTGGAACTGTGTTTTAACTGTTAATGAAATCATCAATTCATGATTGTTCAGAATTTTTTCTCCCCGTCAGGAAACATTTAAATATATTTTTATATTTATTTTTCTCCTCAAAAATATAAATATATTTATTTTTTTGAAAAATTTTTTTTAAATATATTTTTTTACATCCCTGGAACGGAGTCACCAGACGAAACAAAAGACATTTCGAACCGGCTCATCTGAGTAGCTTCATGGATTGAATAATTGTCCCAAAATTGGTAGACCAGCTTACAAGACGGTTTTTCAAAATTTTAGGAAGCGGGTCGTCGAACTAGACCATTTGGACTTTAACTATTGTTTCAAAACGAGCGCGCGCTTTTGGTCTCTTGTTCACATCTAAAAAAGACGATACGATACTTAGAAAAGAACGTAGCGTGACCAGATAATTCAGCTCAAGAGTGACACCGCTACTGACAACAAATGATAACTAAGTGCTAGCAGTCAAAATACATCTAGTAAATGAAAGGTCGTTTCCGTTCTGATTGGTGGTTACTAACGGTCAAAAGGAACTGCTGCAAAGTCCCAGCTGCAAAAAGAACAAAAAGTTTTCAAAATTTAAAGACAACTAGTTTCAAAAAAATTAAAGACATTATTTTTCTTATAAATAATTTTTTCAGGCTCTCATTATGCAACAGCCGGAATCATCCCAATATCACTCAACAAAAATCGAAATTATCGCAGAGCCTACCTCCGAACACTCGCTCAAGCTATCATTCGCCCTTTGTTGCAGAGCCAACTTGACAGAACAGTAGAATCGAGCGTGAGCCCCGGAAAATTGTGTTCATGCTCTGCAAAACTGGAACACTTCACTTGGGATCAACCCGCCACTCTGAGAGAAAATTGGTCTTGCGGCAGTACACCAACCTGCAGAAACATACCTTCGACATGGGATGAGAAAAGTTTGTGATGTAAAAAGCGCATGAAGACATACACGTGAGTAAAAACCTATCAACAAAAGTTTAATTTTTTATTGACCGTCGCTTAAGAAGGCACCAATCAAGACTCTTCGAAACGTCTCCGGTAATTTTGATTTGATCACCTGGTTGTGGCTACAAGCTATGAGTTCGCTAAAACCTTTTTGAAGAAATTTCAATTTTTTGGCTCTAGTTTTGTTCCGACATTCAAAGAAAATGGAATATTTATACTTGGGGTAGTTTTTTATTCAGTAAGTTTTAGGCGATCAAAAAATATAGTCAATAATAGTAGCAACATAATAAGACAATAAATTGTCAGATAAATAGTAGTGAGATAATAGTTTTTAAAAAAGTTTTTTTTTTATACCCCACTAAAGATATCGACTCCCTGAAGTCAAGTATAAAAATATATTTTACCTCCGATATTTTGTTGCAAAGTTATGGGACTTTGAAAATAGCCAATGCGCGCTTTGAAGATTTTATTCATAATGCTGAAAACTTAATACGAAATATTTATGTTTGTCGGTTTATCCCGCGCAACAAAATCAATCCAAATTGACTAGAGGCTAGCTAGTCGGTCGTATTAGTTTCGTATGACTCAAATTTTCACAATTGATATTTGATATTGTCCAAAATTTATAGTTTTTCAATATTTTTTTTCACAAAAACTTTTCGTTACGGATTGAAAGGGCAGTCAAAACATTCAAAGGTTAACCATTGTACTCTTTTATGGAACGGAGCAAACACGTCACCTATTGAAAACTTTTTGATAAGTAACTGCTTCCTCATTTCAACAAAATTCACTTTGATGAAACTTTTTATCACCAGACAAGATGTTGAACATAAAATGACAAAAATTGTAATGAGAGAATTGTATCATGTGAAATAGAAAATTTAAAACTTCAAAAAAGATAAGATGAATTTGTTCCAATTACACTGAATTTCTTTTCTAATTTTTGTTCAGACCATTGAAACTTTATTGTTTTCCATGCAAAATCAGGTACCACAACTAATCAGCGTACAGGTATATCATTTTAAAGCCTTATTAATCTAGTCGTGATTCGAACAAAATTTCCTAAAAAATCTTATACTCGAGAAAAACCGGCTTAAAGGTTTCAATTTTTCGTCTACTTTCGTGGGCGTAAAGCGATCGAGTAACGTTTCTATATAAAAATTAGAAAATTAGGTGGGAAAAAAAATTGATTTTACTTTTAAAAGCTAGTTTTAGAAGCTTCATTAAGGTGTTCTCTGCATAAAAAAATCTTTCAAAACTTAAAATTTTTAATCCAAAAAGTTGAAAAAACCTTTAAAAAAAGTTCAGAAATTTTTTTTTTTTAAATTATTTTTCGAAGACCATTGAAATTGTTTATGCCTATTTGACTATATTTCTTTTTTTTCTGAAAATGTGGTCGGAACATTCTGTGCTACTTCACAGCAACCGGTTTTCCTTGTTATAAATTGCCACTGTTTATGAAGTCCAGTCAAAAACCAAGACTTTTTATTTTTAGTAAAGTTTCGTTTTTTCGGCCCCCTCTGAATTTTCACGTAAGAATTTCAAGTCTCACGAAGTTGTATGTCAAGAAACTGAAATCTAAGTAAAGAAACCACTTAATAAAGAAACCACCTAATCTAAACCCAAAAGTTCAATTTAAAAATAGAAAGTTATTACGCCTTCAACCGAGGGTTAGAAATTTTTTTAATACGAATACTGATGATAGGATCGATCTTAAAATTTTGAAAGGAGAGGGATTTCAGAAAGGAGGGGGAATCTGAGTTTTCTTCCAAGTAGCTACTGATGATAAAAGTGTCCATATACTTCCATCTCGCATAGTTTGATAATACTTGAACTCCTCATTTTGATCATGTGTCCATTCAAACCACACATAACACTGGCCAATGGCTCAGTACCAGATACCCCTAGCTTCTGGCACTGTCTACAACTTGGGTAATTGACGTCCATGCCATTACACACTTCCAGCTGGATGTCTTCATTCACATCTGTAAACAGAGTAAACCTGAAATAAAGCAAAGCTAGGAAATGCGCAAATAACACATGTTGTTCCGAGCCGTTTTTTCATCGACCTCGACAATTATTTTTCTTTCTGTTTCTTGCAATCGGAAGGACATGTGAAAAGAATTTAAAATAAAGCCAGGCTTCACTCTTTTCCAGCATTTTAGGAGTAGTCAAAAAATTTTTTCATACTTTTTGGGTATTGAAACATGATAGAAACCATATTTGATCAAGATTGTAGTCTTACAAGATTCACTCCTTTAGGTTTCCTATATAATCTTGCAAGATCTTAGAAGATCTTACAAAACTCTTGAAGGTTTTGTTATAACCACGAAAGCATGGACTATCTTTTAAAGTAAACATCTTTTCTTACGTGTCCTCTGCATGATGAACAATTTCTTTAAAAAATGAAAACACTCTTTGGAGATTTTTGCCTCCTGCAACTGATGAAAAAATACCAGGGGCAAAAATTCTATCTTCATTTGTTTTTTTGAGGTGCAATTGGGTTGATTCTCATAGTGCAAGCGTATAGTATACAGTGATCGCCAATGTAGGACCGTTTATAGGAAGGCCGGTAATTCTAGGTCACAGTGTCAACAATAAACCCTCAAAAAATAAACTGTTGATTAGTAAAAAGAACGAATGTTTCTGATTAGAGTAACTTTTCAAAGAAATAAAAAACAAAAACTGAAGTTTTGAACGATTTCTCAGTATTTTTCTGCTGTTTTTTTTTAAATTTTGTATTATTAGAAAGTAAGCCACTCAAGTAATTTAAGCAAAATCATATCTAACATACGAACAGAAGAAAAATTTGATCAATGTGCCATTGTTTTTTCTTGTGTCATCCATACTCTTCAGTGTTAAACTTAGTTTGACAAACGGATTTATTCAGAGCATTTTTTGTCGAGATACAACGACACCACCTTTTGACACGGGTTGAGATCCACGACTTATGTCTAGACTTTCGCGACAAATTTTTGGCATGCCCAGAAGCTGGTGACCAAATTTTGATATACCCACACTTTCGCAACCAAAACTGGTATTTCCGACTTTCACCAGCAAAAAAATTTTTTGCGAATATTGTGACCGAAGTGGAGACGGCGCGACAATTATTCGATTTTATCCCGTCTTTCGCGACCGAATTTGTCATTTGTAGACTTTCGCGACCGGAAAACTAAGTAAAAAAATTACGCGAACGTGATGGAGACCGCGCGACCATTGCGACCATGCAATGATGCGAAAGGCGCGACCTGATATCTCAGCGGCACAACCAATTCGAGCAACATATGCGATCTGCGCGACAATACCCATCAAACATTTCCATTTCCCGACTTCAATTATAGTGAAATTCCGTCGCGACTGCTGCGACCAAGGTTGAGACGGCGCAAGCGCGGTGACCCAGGAAACGGAAGGATCAAACTTTGCCAGGTTCAGATTTGGCGACCGCGGCAATCCTAGTCAAATACAAAATTTCTCAGACTCGGTTCAACCTCCCCACAAAAAAAAACTTGCTTACCGCACAACTTCAAAAATTGAGTGTCTAAGTTGTTTGTCATATATTTATTCATACACAAAACCTTTAAAACAAATTTTTTTGTCTTCTCGACGATTTTGAAGTTTTCTAATCATTAAAAAAACAGACAATTTTCTTGAATGAAAATTGTATGGAAAGCAAATTTGCAAAGAAAACAAAGTGAAAATTTGTTGAAGTCTTCTTTGCTCAAAAAACATTTTAATGAAACAGTGCATATAAAATTATAAATTTCTTTGTCTGTAACGTAGCTTGGCAGTTTGAATTATGCACAAAAGTATCCAAGTATTACACCAAAACGTTTTCTGTGTTTTAAAATTTTTGTGTTTTTTGTTCATTTTAAGTGCTAAGATATAGCTAAAAACGGGCCATTAAAAACAAATGCTAAACATATGAAAAATTAAAGGTTTCCTTCTGTACGCAAGAGATTATAGAAAAACGCGGGACGGAAATTTCTCGAGTTAATGATTAAAATATTTAGTAAAAGTTTTATGCTTCCATTTTTTTGGTCAACCCGGTGAGATAACTATAACCGCGTTAATAAAAAACGCATTTAAATTTGATTTTTTGATAACGTCTGGAACAAAAAAAGTGGTTCCCTTGTCTTTTGAGTAAATCAAAAATGGGACCTGGTAAATCAATAGTCTTCTGCTGGCTCTATTATTTGAGCATTTCTTGAATTCTGAAGCATAATTCCCGTTTCTATCAATCAAGCTTCGTAAATGCTTTGCGTTATTTTCAACTTGATAAACGAACAACTTTTGTTTTTCAATATGTAATTGTAAAAACTTTTTCAAACTGTTTAGTTTTTTTGATGAAATTTTGCGCTCAGAAATCCTAATATTGGTAAGCTGCAACTAAAATGCAATTCTAGAACAGTAGTTAAAAATATTGGACTGCAAACTTGACATGAAAAACGTAGAAGTAACAACAAAATTTAAAAAAAAAATAGGCATCCTAATTTGCGTTCAATGCAATTTTTGCCATTTTAAGTAAGACCAACTGCATAGTTTCTGACCTGGTTGAACTTGCCTACAAAAAAAACAGACTGTGTGTCTAAAAATTGTTTGGCGTTCAATTATTCATACAAAAGACGTTTAAAACAAAATTTTTACCTCGACGCTTTTAAAATTTTTTGATCATTAAAAAGCATTACTTGTATAAAAACTATATGACAAGCATAATTTCATGAAATAAAAGACAAAATTGTGTGTGAGTCTTCTATGCTCAAACAAACTTTTGAATATCATTTGTAAAATTTTAAGAATTTTGTCCATAACATAGTCCACTCTAAAATTTACCCACAAATTATTCAAGTATTTCACCGAAATGCGTTTGCCTGTCTTCAATTACATGTGTTGATTTGTTTGCTAAGATGTGGCTGATTAAATGCCATTAAAATTATATGCCAAATTAAAAAACAATCCCTTATTTTCACCACTGTATTTTTTAAGGTAGAAGCTTCTAGCTTCATACAAAAAGTTACTTCTTTTGACAGTAATTGTATAAAACTTTATAAGATTTCAGCCCTAGGTTTTGTCTTTTCGGACAAAACTCCAATTCAGAACTTACAAAAATTTTAAATTTTTTTCATAGAAAAAATCTATACATTCAAACTTCATGCATGAAGCACTGCTTGTCATACGTTTTTGATGTAAGACATAAAAACTTTTTGCGAGTGATACAACTTCATACACTTTCCGAAAGTTTCATACAATTTTCTGGGAAATTAAGGGACATAAAGTTTGTGATATATGAAAATTTGGTCGGTCCTGGCGAGGTAAATAAAATCGCGTCGAGGAAAACGCATTTCATTTCCGTTTTTTGTGATTGCCAGATCAAAAAAAAATGTAGCTTCCTTGTACTTAAAGTAAATCAATGATGGAACCTGGTAATTAGATAGTTTTCTGCTGGCCACATAACTTAAGCTTTCATTAATTTACGCAGCATAATTCCCGTTTTTTCCAGTTGTGCTTCCTAAATGCTTTGTATTATTTTTTATTTTCAACGTGAGATACATAAATTTTGTTTGTCAGTAAGTTTGCATGTGAGATATTGAGTTGTAAAAAACTTTTCAAATGTTTAGGTTGTTTGATAACTTTATCAATACTAACACTAACAAACTGCAGCAAAAATGAAACTTTAAATTGATGCGGAAAAAACAGTGCTCTACAGTTTTTGCAAATTTGGCCTGAAAAATGTCGAAGTAACAACAAATTTTTTTGAAAGTTAGCTATGCCAAAAATCATCATCAAGAAGTTTCGGAAGTGTAGATTGTTGAAAAAAAAAAGAATTTTTGTGCAGAACAATCGCAGCCGCCGATCCACTAAATTTTCAAAATTGAAATTTCACGTCTACTCTTCGAGTTTTCCTGTAACATTGAGAAACAAAACCTTTGGAAAATTTTGGAGTTTTTGAGGAGAGCCCATATAATGGTATTTTGGTCCCCTCAACATCTGATAGCTTTTAGCTTGTTAGATTAATATTACTTTGGTTGATTATTATTGCTTTTGGGACCGCATAACCAATTGGATCAGATAAACATCTTCGGGGCTATTCTCATGCGCAAAAAAAAACAAATGCGCGAAAGTTCTCATCAATCTTCGCTCTTACGGCTGGCTGCGCTTATCGCTTATTTTTCTCAATTTTTTCAATTTTGAGCTCCGATAAGTTGGAAAAAGTTTCTACAGTGATGATTTAAAACATCCAGTCAAAACGGATCGCAACCGACCCTTTCTGGCTGTTTTTAGTCATTCGAAAATTACGCAAAAACGGCCCTACTAATTGCTGACAAAATTATATCAAAAAGATTCTCTTATGTAACCCAACAATACCTAAAAGAGATAAACTTTTAAAAAATCGTTAAAATGCTTTTGAAATTTTTTCAAATAAAATAGGGAATTTAAAATAGTAAAAAAAAAGAAAATTTTTTGAAAATTTTCTGAAAATTATGTTTCTTATACAGTTTTTAAGAAAGTTTACTATTCCTAAATTTTGTTGGACTATATAAGAAGCCCACTTTTGTCAATTTTATCAATAATTGATAAGGTAGTTTCGGGGTACTTTTGATTGACCTAAAAAGCCAAAAAGGATCGGCTTTGGGCTAAAATTGAGTTCAAAATTCGCAAAAAAATACACCATATTAACCTTGTTAAAATTGGAAGCAATTTTTCTCTTTGTCTTTTCTCACCTAAACTAATCCAGTTTGAGAAAAATGCGTTTTAATTTCCAAGTTTTGATCGTTTTGTCCGGATGTTTTATATCAGCTGTGTATATCATCCTTTCTTTAAACAGGCCAACTTATGATCCTCCACCTCAATAAACAACTAATTGCTTAGCTCGGCGTCTAAAAAACAAGATTTTGATCGATTGAAAGTCATCCTAATGCCATTTTCCTTAAAAATGCTTTAGAGATTCTCAACCTATAATTTGTTAAATTATTTTTCTAAGTGATCTGATTAAGAATATATTGATTTTGAAGGTTCAACTATTAGATGTTGAAATAATGATGAAAATCTTATGTACTAAATTAGGGCGAGCGGATTGTTAAAAACCTCCATAACTGTTTTGTAAAATTATTTTTAAACAAATTTTGTAGCCCTACTCCGCTTCAAAACAGATGATGATTTTTATAAATATGATAATTCATAGATATGATAAATTTTCATATATTTTAAAGCAGATGAAGTTTCATCAAAAATCTGGGGTAATCTTTAGCTCATTTTTTGTGAACTAACAGGTATGATCCTTTGGGGACAGGACACTGATGTAGTCCACAGCAATGGGGTCAAAGGTCAGTATGGTCCAGTCTCCATTCGAGGCCCACTCGAAGCAACCCTCGGTCTGATGTATCTCATCAAACACTGTGAGGAAGGGGGAGAGGGATCTGGAGGAGGGGGCAGTGCGGGGATCGAAGTCCACGTAGACCTTGGTAGTCTTCCTTCCTAAGGAGTGGGAGTGAATTTTCAGTCTCATTATCTCATTGTCTCATTCATTCAAATGATATTCATGATCTAATCCAATTCGGTTATTTTTTCAAACATAACGAATGGGTGCGCATATTTGTTTTTTGGGCGGGAAAAAATCCACCTCGCGCGTTAGATTTCAATGAAATTGGCTCGTAAATAGTCTGCCAAAAATTAGGAATAAGTCCGTGAAATAAAATTTGTCGCTGAATGCAAAAACAGTTAACAGCTTTTTGGTCCGCCACAACTTAAAATGAATTATTTGGCGCCAAGGTTGTCTTTACAAGTTTAAAGTACTCTTTCGAAATTAATCAGGCAGTCTAAAACGCGGATGTGCTGCCATTGAAAAAGATTATTAAAACGTGAAAAATAAAACCGTAAACAACTTTAATTAGCCATACCTCCAGTCATGTTTACTGTAAGCGCATCTACTTCCGCGACCGTCATCTCAAGATCACGTGACAATTTCTCAACGGTGTCCGCAACAGATATCATTTGGCCGCTGCTCTGCGGGACATCCAAAATGTCGAGGACCGCAGTTGAATTTATCTGAGATAATTTTGAATCAGGCACCATCTCTCGCAATGCGCGGATGACCAAGGAATCAAGCTCTGATTCAAGTTTGTCTTTGATAGGATCCGCAAAAACATTGACCTTTGTACGCAAATCATTCACTCTGTCTGTTTTAAAAAAAAAATAAAAGGTTAAGGGAAAAATGTAACGATGTTTTTCAAAAACAGACTACTACCTATTATGGTCGAATTTGAAAAGCTAAATTAATTAATTTACAGAATCATTAATTTACTGAAGTAGCTGAAAAAATATCTGAAAATCACCCGTTTTTTCTCCATCAGCTCGCATGAATGTGGATGAGTAAAACCAGAGGCTGATCTAGGGTTTTCTCGAGGGGGGATGCGGATTTTCATAAAATTTTTCAAAGTTTTGTCGACCTTTTTGTAGGTCGACCAAATTGATATTCCGAGCACTCCAGAACACTATAAGGGCCGTATTTTGACCAAAAAGTTTTTGGCGCGGGCTTCACTTCAAAATTAGTATATATTGGCGCCGAAGGGATGCCATAAAATAATACCAAAGAGGGGACCCTTTGGTTGGTGAGAGCTCGAATCCTTGAGGGGAGGGGGGGGGGGCTGCCCCCCTCCCCTAAATCCGCCCTGAGTATAACATTATTCTGTAACCAATTTTTTTGGGAGTTTCAAAGCGCGAGGTTCATAGTTTCGGGAGAAAATATAAGCGGAGAATAAAGATCTGAGAAAACACTACCTTTAAACTCTTGTAATGTTCGTGTCTCGATAAGTTCTTTCTGTTCTTGTTCAGCCACCAGTCTATTGTGAAAATAGTCGTAATCCACTTTTTGGCCGTCAAATTGCTCTCTTGCCGATGCAACTGAAACATTAGTTTTGTACATTTTAGTACCATCGAGTGCTTTTCTCTCCCATATTTTCAATTTCAAAAAGGGCAAATCTGGAAAGTTTAATTTTTGTTTTTCACCCAACTAACCCTGCCATCTAACAAAGAGAGTCCAAATCCTCTTTCTCCCTAGTGTTTTGAAAAGCACGTTTTTCGAAGTTTGGTCATTAAATCGACAAGCAAAACAATTCTAAATTAGGTTCCTTTTCGTATCGAACGAGTTTTATCCCAAAAACAAACTAGCATTTTTTATAACTTTCTTGGAAAAAACAGTGGGAAGAAGAATCCGATCTCAATTTCATCCGAGTTATTCAATCATTCGGCTTAATTCAATCATCAGATACGCGAGTGTTTTGTCGTTTTGCTTGGCGATCTGTTCAATATCAAAACTTATTGTTTAAAATTGAGCTCATAATGGCCAATCCGGTGTGACAACGGCCAAACTAGACGTACAGTTGCAGAGGCGTTGCATGAAAGAAAAAAAAACGAAAAGATAACAAGACTGCTCTTATCAGGTCAAAACTTTGAATATTCCGACTACCCAATTAAGGTCTAAGGAACATTTAATTTTTTGAGAAACTCAAAAACTGATAAAATTTCAGAGCAAAATATTTTTCTTTTTATATCCTCCTCGTACACTATGTAAGTACTAAGCTTTGCAATTTGCGACTAGCAAGGTAAAAATAGTTTCAAAATGATTGGTTCAAAATTACGCTTTAAAAGAACAATAAAACATCAAGCGCCCATTGCCCAAATTAGCACAATTGGCACTTTTTTAACCAATTCAAATTTTGAAAAATTCAACACAGGTGAAATGTTTGTTTCAAAGTGAGCTCCATCATCAATATCTTTTAGATAGTATAAACACAAAACTGGCTAGGTCAAAAGTAGTTCCGATGCCAAACCGAATTCATTCAGTTTAGTCCTATGTTTCTTTTATAAGCCTGCAATACAAGTTAATTGTTGAGGTAAAGAATCTTGCTCTCATGAGGTCGCAGAATCTAAGTTTGAGCAAAAAAAATACATTTTTGAGTGCAGCAATAAAATTCGTGTTTTGCTTTTAACATCATGGCTAATGTCTTCAAAGGCTTAAACAAGAAGTTAACATAGGCTCAAAACGCATTCAGGTTAGCGCGTAGCTCATCCGCGTTAACACTACACTAGCTTATTGTAGAAAACTTGCCTGAAGAAAAAACCAATACAAAGCATATAATTTACTCGTTCTCCAAAAATAGGAGCAAAAATAGTAGAAAGCGTTTAAGCAAAGCAGACTAACGTTATGAAAATGATAAACATAAAATGGATCAGTTTTAAATTGACGCCTAATCTAGACTGAGTTTTCCCAATTCAAACAATTAATTGTTCCGACTTTCGATACGAAAGTAACGGAATATTTGTGATCGGGGTGTGTTTTTTTTTCTTCAGACAAATTTCGACTTTTTAACTAGCCATTTTTGACGGAATTTTTTTAATATCATTCGAAAGCCATTGTTGTCCTGAGCTTAAATTTGAAAAGATACTTCACCTGTGATCATTTTTCGTAAAGTTATGAGGGTTTAAAGATTGCCATTTTGGCCATTTTGACCAATTTAGGACAATTAACGCGCGATATAATTCGCGCTATTAACGCGTAAGCGGAGATTTAATCCGTCTTATAAATCGTTCCCAATTGGTTGAACGAAGCTAATTTGCCATAATTGATTTGTTACAAGGAACGAAATCTATCTTTTTGTACTTTATATGGCGTGTGGGGGGATGATTTTCATTAAAAAATTTCAAATTTTAGAAAAAAAAATTTCATTTTATTTTATTTTATTTTATTTTTTATGTTATTACTGCTGCTCCAGAAACCTTAAAAGGCAGTCGGAACATTCAGCGCTTCGCCCTGATACGAGCAGTCTTGGTCGTGTTTTGTGTCCAATGTGCTTAAACTTTTTAGTTCAGATTAAACTGCAACTAAAACATTTGTCTCATAGCAAAGCCTGAATGAGCAAATCCCTGACTGTTCAAGCAACCGTTTAACGTGTCTGGAGTAGCTTTAGTTGATAAAAATTTAGAAACACAAAAATTCATAATTTTTTCATTGCAAATGTTCTGTTTGGACGCAATTTTAAGTTCAAACAAGACTGCTCGTATCAGGGCGAAGCCCTGAATGTTCCGACTGCCTTTTAAGGTTCAAGGAGCAGTAACAACATTAAAACATAAATGAAATGAAACAAAATGATTTTTTTTTCTAAAAATTGAAAACCTTTATGAAAACTATCATATGAAAACTACCAAATGGGCCAAAATGGTAACTTTACGAATGATGATCACAGGTAGAACATCTTTTCAAATTTGAGCTCAAGACAACAATACTTTTTGACTGATATAAAAAACTCCGTCAAAAATGGCTAGTTAAAAAGTCAAAATTTGTCTGAAGAAAAAAAACCCATTCCGAGCACAAATATTCCGTTACTTTCGTATCGAAAGTGGAACAATAAATTTACAAACAAATTTAAGTAAAAAAATTTTTAAAGATAAAGTTAGAGCTCAGAACGTTAATATCTTTCACATGGTTTAAAAACCTTATTCTAAAAAACTAGAGAAAAATCGAAATTTGTCTATTTCGAAAAAGGCTAGAAAAAAAACAACCACACTATAAAATTCAATCTATTATTCAAACAATGCAAATGTTCAGTTAGCACGCAAATTTAAGTTCAAACAAGACTGCTCGTATCAGGACGAAGCCCTGAATGTTCCGACTGCCTTTTAAGGTTCATGGAGCAGTAACAACATTAAAACATAAACGAAATGAAACAAAATAATTTTTTTTTGTAAAATTTGAAAACCTTTATGAAAACCATCCCCCCACACGCCATATAAAGTAAAAAAAAGGATAGATTTTGCTCCTTGTAACAAATCAATTATGGCAAATTAGCTTCGTTCAACCAATTGGGAACGATTTATAAGACGGATTAAATCTCCGCTTACGCGTTAATAGCGCGAAATATATCGCGCGTTAATTGTTCCAAATTGGCCAAAATGGCAATCTTTAAACCCCCATAACTTTACGAAAAGTGGTCACAGGTAAAATATCTTTTCAAATTTGAGCTCAGGACAACAATACCTTTCGAATGATATAAAAAATTCCGTCAAAAGTGGCTAGTGAAAAAGTCGAAATTTGTCTGAAGAAAAAAAACCCACCCCGAGCACAAATATTCCGTTACTTCCGTATCGAAAGTCGGAACAAAAAATTAAAATGCGAAATCTGTTTTGAAACGTACTAATACCCCGTTTAGACTGCATGTTGATTGAAAATTTTGGAAATTTTAAACCAATTTTTGTCATTTCTTTAGAGCCCGTGTTCTTAAGTACAAACGTCGCTGGTGTGTGAGACCTATTTAATTTCAAGCTCAAGTTTTAATAGTTTTCAGGCTATTTTAAAAAAATCCGTTGAAAAAT